TTTTTTTGGTACCAGGAATTGAACTCAGGATCTTGTGCTTGCGAGGCAAGTGGCAGAACCACAGAGCCAAATCCCTGGCCCTATAATTCTTAATATATATACCTTGTACTAATTAATGGCATTCACTGAAAATGCAATCATTGTTTCAATTTTCCTCCTTAGAAATTAATTTTGTTAATTTTTGAACAACTGTTGGTAACAATCCCTTTGTAATGTTTGGAATCTATATGGATGTGTTTTTTCACTTTTTTTTTTTTTTTTTTTTGTACTAGGGGTCGAACTCAGAGCCTTGTGCTTGCAAAGCACTGAGCTAAATCCCCAGCCAATGTTGTTTTTTTATTCGTGATGTGGATTACTTGTGTTTTCCCCTTTTTCTTTTTTCTTTTTTTTTGTTTTTGTTTTTGCTTTTTGAGACAGTGTCTCACTACGTAGTTCGGGCTGGTCTTCAACCCACTATGAGCCAACGCTGGCCTTGTGCTCTTGGCGATCCTCCAGGCTCAGCCTCCTGAGTGGTGGGATTACACCATGCTTGTCTCATTCCTCTTTTTTTCTTGATAAGTCTCACTAGGTGCATTCTACTTTCTTGATTTCCTTTTTCTGTGCTGGGGATTGAGCCCCTGACTTTCACATTGAGCTGCATCCTAGTACTTTTTATTTTTTACGTATTTTTGAGACAGGGTCTTGCTAACTTGTCCAGGTGATACTTGAACTTGGATCCTCCACCCTCTACCTCCTAAGTGCTGGTAGCTAGCTGGCTTTTTCTTGCCACTTTCTGAAGCAGTTCTGGAAATCCTCTTTTGTGTTTTTATTTACACTACCATGGCTCCCTTGGTGTCCTGGATTCCATAAAAAATATTTACCTTCCATGGTCATTTTGACTTTAAGAAAGAGCCAGAAGTCACATCATGGCAGATTTGTAGAATAAGGTAGATAATGATATATGGTAACGTTTTTACAAGCCTGCCTTTCTGTTGAATGGCACTTGCTAGCAGCATTCAGCCTTCCAGAACTGCTTCAGAAAATGGCAAGTGCTGGGTGCGGTGTCACACAGAGTAGTCCCAGTACTTGGAAGGCTGAGACAGGAGGATTTGTTTGAGGCCATCATGGGTAATGTAGTGAGTTCAAAGCCAACCTGAACTACACAGTGAGCCCTGTCTCAAGAAAATAAATAAAAATAAAAAGATAGAAAGTGGCATGAATGATGGGATAAATGTGTTTAAGTGAGCAGGAGAATTGTGAGAATTAATGATAATATGTCTTTTCCTGAAATACATTTTAAAAAATCACTGTATATTTAGATCATACCTTGTATATTACATTCTGTGTTTTAATTTTTTAAGCTCTAGATTAATCATATTAATCTTTATTAACTACATCCAAATGCCATGCCTGTCCTAGGTCTCCATAATTCAAGTGTCTTCAGAGAGCTCAAGACCCATTGAATGAGAATTTTCCTTTGTCTCCCCCACTGAATGTGAGCTCTGATGAAGGCAGTTGCTTTGTTTTTCTTGTTTGTTTACAGCCCTTAGAATGCTGCTTGGGCCAAAAGACTTTATTGCTAAATAAGTGTATGGGAGGCATACCAGGCACAGGCAAGCTCAGGTTTGGGGCCCTAACAAATCCAGCCAGGGTTTGCTTTTTGTTGTGTAAAGTAAGAGTCCACCTGGTGGTCACAGGAGGAAAAGCATTCTAGGAAAAGATGCAAGAATACAGGAAGCAATGGAAGAAACAGACTCTTCCATTTTATTTTTTTATTTTATTAGTATCTTTTTGAGACAGCATCTCACTTTGTAGTTTAGGCTGGCCCTGAACTCACTATGTAGTCCAAGCTGGCCTCATACTCACAGCAATCCTCCTGCCTCAGCCTCCTGAGTGCTAGGATGACAACCTGAGCCACTATGCCAGGTTTGAAACACTCTTTTAAGGAGCTCTCAGTATCATGTCCATAAATTTCATAGAATTATTCCTGTCTCTCTGGGTATATCTGATGTACCAGATTCTCAAAGGGTCACGGCCCTGCTCTCTAAAAAGACTCGTCTACGGCCATACCACACTGAATACTCCCAATCTAGTCTAAGAAGACTCTTCCCAGCTCCTACAATTAATGGATTTTGCCCCATGGTCACTCTATGCTCTCTCAAATCTGGAGTCCCCTGGGTGGCTTCTGAATTCCCAGGAGATCCTTTGACCCTTTGCCCTGGTCCCCATTCCCAGTGCTAGAATGCTTCTGTGCTTTGCTGTCTATGACCTCAGGCGAGTCCCTTGTCATTTCTGAGCCCCAGTTCTTTCATCTGCAAGAAGGGCAATTCCCATCTCCTCAAATTATTGTGAGAATCGAGTAAGATATGTCTGCAAAGAAAATGCTCCCTTGCTTTCACTGCTCCTCCTTCCTTAGCCCCTGGAGCCTCTGCTCCCCCTCCCCCACGGGAATACAGTTAGCTCATTTACTGGAGCAGATTAGTCTCAAATGTCTCTTAATCTCCACGGCACTTCCTTAATCAGAGCCCTGGTGGAGACAGGGCTGGTATAAATCTGCATCAGTTCCTGGCTCATAGATGAAGCAGGATGGGGCAGGACACGGAAGCCAGGCTGCTGCTGCTGCTATGTGTAACATCCTGCGGACGTGCACAGGCAGATGGGCTGAGGGGACACACATCCGTCATTGAAGTAACCAATGGGGGTCCCTGGGGCGACTGGACCTGGCCTGAAATGTGTCCCGATGGATACTTTGCCAGTGGTTTTTCACTTAAGGTGAGCAGTTAGGCCTACATCTCAGGTGGGGCAGAGATGCAAAGGGCACAGACTGAGAAAGGCAGCTCTTGACTGGCCCTTACCCCTCTTCTCTGCCATCCAGGTGGAGCCGGTTCAAGGCATTCCTGGGGACGACACGGCTCTGAATGGGGTCCGGCTGCATTGCACTCGTGGGAACGCAGAGCACGTTGTAGAGTCCAAATCCGGAAGGTAGGGGCAGAGGCCAAGAAGCCCCTACAGCTGAGCGGGTGGGTGGATAATTCCTCTCTGCATCTCGGGAAACATCGGTGGCTACACCCAACTCACTGCGTCAGTTTAGCACCTGGCTTGGAAAGTCCCAAGGTCTGGGTCGGCTGGGGGGGGATGTTAGGGGTCTCCCACGGAGCCAGAGCGTCTCTCCTTATTTGCAGATGGGGCTTGTGGCGTGAGCCGATGTGGTGTCCCAACAGAGGCTTCCTAGTGGCTTTTGCGCTTCGCGTGGAAGCAGCTATGACTCCTGGGGACAACACCGCAGCGAACAATTTGCGCTTCCGCTGCTCAGACGGCACAGAGTTGGAGGGGCCTGGGCTGAGCTGGGGTGAATTTGGAAACTGGAGTGACTCATGCTCCAAAGGTGTGTGCGGCTTGCAGACCAAGATCGAGGATCCTAGAGGCCTCCGTGATGACACTGCACTTAATGACCTGCAATTATTCTGCTGCCAAAGTTAAAGCTCTTCCTGCTGTCTTTCCAGCAGGGATGCCAGTCCCATCTCCTAAGCTAGTCCCACCTCCCACCATTAAAATTTGTCAATCTTGACTTTGGTCTCGCTTGTTTTAGGGAGGGGAAATTGCCTATCCTTTCCCCCTCTTTACCAGCACCAGGCCAGACCTAGATTCTGGTTTAGTCTCAGGGGTCTATGGCAGGTAGCTAAGTTATGGGCTCCCAGTCCAGAAAAATGTACTTTTTTTATTTTTATTTTTTCTAAATGAAGGAAGACCTAACTTTCTGAGGACATCTGGCCCATCAAAAGCACAGGTCATCTTTCAGAACCATCAGTTACCTTAGGTTGAGAAACTTCTGCCAAGTTAGGTGACAATGCTATAATGGTTTTAAAGCTTCATTTTCCAGAGTTTAGGAGGCTAAAATATCTTTTTTTCATACTGAAAAGAAATTTCCAGGCAGATGGATATTTTTAACAAAAAAATAACTGAATTGGACAACTACGAGTTAACTGTGTTGTTAAGCAACTATGGGTTAACTAGGTAACTATGCTCTCTGTAGAATGTACCTGAGTAGCCATGACAACTTATGTAATCTGTTACCAGAGGAGCGTCACAGACTCAGGAAGTCCTGCCAGGCCCCCTGCCCAGCCACTGTGCTTTGTGTGAACTCTGCTTACTATATTCCCTGGGAAACTCCAATGGAACTAAGCTCCACAGATGTAAAAAATGTCAAATAACTAATCAACCAAAGACGGCCAAGTACTCTGCTTCTGCTTCTGTACCTCCTCCTTACAACCCTATAAACTATGGGCACACTGGTCTGACCTTTTTTGGCAAAGATACCAGTCAGATCTGCCAGTGTAAATAAAGGTGTTTACTGCCTCTAACCCTTTGGGTGCCATCTGTTTCCTGGTTTTGGTATTTTGCAGCAATACCGCCCCCTTACCCCCACCAAATCCACAGTGTTGCTTTTTTTCCCTGAGACAGGATCTTGCTTTATAATTCAGGCTGGTCTTGAACTCACTTTGTAGCCCAGGCTGGCCTCCAAGTCATGGTGATCCTCCTGCCTCTGCCTTCTGAGTGCTAGAGTTAAAGGCATGCACCACCATGCCCAGGTTTTTTTTTGGGTTTTTTTTTTTTTTTTTTTTTTTTTTTTTTTGGTATTGGGGGATTGAACTTGGGATCTTGCACTTGCAGGCAGCAGAACCACTGAGCTAAATTCCCAGTCCTTGTTTTTGTTTTTTGAGACAGGGTCTCACTATAGTCCAGGCTGACTTCAACTTTTTAATCTCCCTGCCTCAACCTCCCAAATGCTGGCATTACAGGTATTTTCCACTACACCTAGCAAACAGTGACCTTTTAAAATCATGATTCCCACTGAAGATCTTTGTCTTTCCTTGCTGTCTCTCTGCCTGGCATTCCCCAGGTTATCCAGATGTTTAACTCATCTATCAGCTATCAGCTCCAATTTCACTTTTTCAGACTTTCCCCATCAGGCAATACGTATCCCATTACCAACATGTTTTCAAAAAATCCCTTTATTGAACAGTCCTCTGCTTCTTGTAAAAATTGCCTGTCCCTCATCCACCTCTGTCATGTTAAATTGTTGAAGAGTACAGAAGGCATCTGCCTCACCACTGTATTTTCTGTGCAATTTAATAGCTCAAGAACTGTTAAGAAAATAATGCAAAGGTGCAGGAGAATCCTGTTTTGGTGTCTCTGGTGGTCCTCCCACAGGGCACTATCTGAGACTAGGAAGGGAGCTCATGACAGTTTATTACTGAGAGCCAGGGAGAGGGAGGGCCTGGCAGGCGTCCAGAAACAGCAGATCGAACCCAGGGGCCAGTGGATCCTCAGTGGGCTGTGCCCTACAGGAAGAGAAAGTGAGTGAGGAGGCAGCCGGGAGCAAGCAAGTTCCCCCGCACAGCTCTGCCGCCCGTTATCCCACCTTTTTCCTGCAATCACCACAGAAGACACCAATGATCGCGTTCACCAACTGTATTCCGCAAAGTATAATCTCCAGGCATGAAGCGGCCACCAGCAAGGAGAATAGCGTCACATTCCAGGGAACCACGTGAGGTGGCTCCTCACACAAATTCCATTAAGTAGTGTTGAGCAAGTAAGCACCTCTGTAGACAGGCAGGGTCATGTGAGACAAGGCGGTTACCCCTCCACCCTACCTCCTCTCATGTACAAGCCAAAAAGGATCTGCAGAGTACTAGTCTGGCCCACGGGGAAGCAGTTCTTTTAAATCTCGATCTGCTCAGGTTTCTTGGCCCACGTGGGAAGGGGATAGGAAGAGCGAGACATAGAGAACGGGGAACGAAAATACAGGCTAAACTTTACGAGGTTTCGTTTTTTCTTACGCGGTTTCTTGGAAGTGATAGTCCCACTTGCCCTTCATTAAGCATTTGGATCCAATTCGGAGCCCGGCTCCTGACACCGAGAGACAGTAAATGGCACCAAGTGTCCCGAAGGCTGAGCAGAAGACTGAACGTAGCATCTGGAATGAACGTGCAAAATGAGGTGAATGGGGTCACCCCCTTGCTACTTGAGCTACCACGCCTAGCTGCGCCCTCCCCGGCACTCCTTATATTGCAGAGCACCCTTCCAGACAGTTTAAAAATGCATTTCTTGGGGGTAAGGATACTACAGGTCGGAGGTAGAGCCCTTGAAAATTCTGTTTGGAATCCAAAGAGCTAGGGCCGCGGAGGCTCATGGGAGTTGTAGTCCCTTCTGGTCAAGCTCTTTAAAGTCTAAAATTTGCGGTGTCCTGAGAGAGTGAAGTGGATTGAACCTGGGACACCGCAGGGATTCGTTGAGCGAAAAATTTTGTGGAGGGTGCTGTGTCTCCGTGAGGACAGGTTAAGAGACCTGATTCTGAATCTCTTCTTAATTTTGTTATTTGTTTACTCATCTATCTTACTTTGCAGCGGTTTCCGCAGCATCCTGCACCACAACAGCCCTTGCCTCCTGCTCGGACGGCTGCAGTTCCGGGACACAGTATCTGCAGGACAAAGAGTCAGTGTGATAGTGCGTCTTCTCAGATCCTCAGGCCTTCCTTAGATTCTTCACGGCTTACCTCCTCTGGGAAGCTGTCTATGACGCCCTCAGCCCTTTGGACATTAGGAACCTTATCTTTACCTCTCCCAGAGCACTATTGGGCTTTCTTAATTTGTCATTACTTATGTGCCTTCTTTATCTCTGTCCAAATTGCAGCTTTCTGGAGGGCAAAGTCCAATACTATGTATTTCCCACAAATCTTCACACATAGTAGGTATCCAGGTATCCAACTGAATGGGAGTCAGGAGACTTGGGTTGAAAGCCAAGGGTGGTGTGCTACTTCCTGTTCTATGACTTGGCTGGCTTCTCCAGATCTCAGCTTGGTCCGGTGTAAAACAGGTCGGTAAGATCTACCTCACAGGGCTGTTCTATAGATGTGAGGAGACAGCAGGTTGACTAGTGTCGAGACTAGCTCAGAGTAAATGCGGCATCAGTATAAATGTCTTTAGCAGGGGGAAGGAACAGAGCCGTTGGAGGGTCTGGTGAGCTGGGTTTACGACAGATTGTGGACCACTAGTTTGTAGATGCTCTGATGTACAGTGTAGGATTTCCAAGATCTAGTCATTGATTTTTTTTTCTCCCAGTGGCCTTTCTCACATGGTCCACTCCCTCCCAGGAATCAGCTGTTCTTTTTGCTCACATTTGCTTCAGATGCCTGGAAATCCAAATCTAACTGCTTGAGGTATTTGCTCCAATGTTGTGGTTTTAACTCATATTGAGCCTACCTCATAATATTTCCCAAATTCATCTTCCTCTTTCTTTTTCTTTCTTTCTTTCTTTCTTTCTTTCTTTCTTTCTTTCTTTCTTTCTTTCTTTCTTTCTTTCTTTCTTTCTTTCTCTTTCTTCCTTCCTTCCTTCCTTTTCTTTTTTATTTTTTGAGACAGGGTCTCACTATGTAGTTGAGATTGACCTGGAACTCACTATGTAGCCCAGGCTGGTCTTGAACTCACAGTGATCCTCCTGCCTCAGCCTCCTAAGTGCTGGGATTACAGGCATGTGCCACCACACCTGGCATCTTTCTCTCTTTCTGTCTCTCTTTCTCTGTTTCTCTCTCTCTCTCTTT